AGGAACGAGTTAGGCATAAGGAAGTAGCTAAATAAGGGAATAGAGCCTGGGGGCTACCTTTAGGAATTCAATATAATAGTTTAACAAGGGAGACAGAAGTAGGAAGTAGGAAGACCTGCCAGCGCCATGTTTGTTGTGCTCAGGCCTGCCTGAGCCCTTCAGCTTCGGGCCTGGATCCTGCTTAGCTGGTCTCACCTTGCTAATCTTGGCCCTGTCACCGTGCACTGCCTCCTTGCTGGTCTCACTCTTTCTCCTACTGGCTCCACATGAGAAACCCCCTGAAGGTTAAAGCAATAAAGCACCCCACTCCGTAGCTGAAAACAAGTACTCTGAAGGAGCTTGAACTCTTTGTGAGATGTGTTATGAAGGCCTCAGACTCCCTTGGTAAGAGTTCAAATTAAAGCAACCAAAAGAACCCCTATTTTACCCTGAAATTGCTATGTTAAAGTTTAGGCTTACCAAATAGTAGGATTAAGGTATAATTATTAACATTACCAAACTGGTTAGCCACTCTTGGAAAGCATGCACCACAGGGCGCCCTCCCATAGCACGGAATGCACATGCGAAGGAAGGTTTGAGCAATGGAAAGGCCACTGCCACTCTGGAAACACAACTTTTGTACAGAAAGAAACCCCAGAAGTGCTTTGTTTAAGTGATATTGTGCCACAAAACACCAACATTTTCCTGTTTGCAAGGAGCTCAGCAAATGTCTGAGTAAAACACTACAAGCCAAATAAAACTGTAGGTTGCAGTGGAGAGTGTCCTCCATGTGGCAGGTAGCTTTCTTTCACTTCTTTCAAGGACAAGAGGGTTGGTCTTATTTGCCCTTCTTGACTTTACCGAACAGTCCTTGAGGTAAGATTCCCAGATGGCTCTACACTAAGCCTGTAGCAGCTAGTCTCAACTGTCAGTATTTGAGTTAGATTTTTAAGGGATTCTCAACTCTGATGCCCCTTCTTCATTGTTATATAGAGACCTGAAGGTCTGTGCAAATGAACATTTAGTATTCTGGTGGTAGTGGTGGTGGTGGACAGTTATATGTGTGTGTGTGTGTGTGTGTGTGTGTGTGTGTGTGTTGCTCGACTCTAGGTGTGCGTACATGTTTTCATGTGATATTCAGAAGTTGACCTGTATATCTTACTGCTTTCATTTTTAATATGGTATCTCACTGAACCTAGAGCTCCCTATTCTGGTTACACTTGCTGGCCACCAAACTCCGAGGCCACTTGTCTCTATGTCCCCTGGTTCTGGGGTTATAGGTCTACACCACTATGTTTAGCTTAACATGCTGAGCCATCTCTCCAGCCCCACACTGGTGATTATGAGGGACATGCCAAGCAAACCTCAGAAGCAACCAGGACTTGGAAGCACAGGACTATCCCCATAGCATCTTACATGATGCCAAGAGAAGAGCAGTGAACTTACACACACGCCTGACCAGCCATAGTCAGGTGCAGACCCGTTAGTCTATATTATAGACTAGACTAGACTCGTCTTTCTTCCTTTATTCTCCCCTCACCCTTTCCCATGCATCTCCCCCACCTGAATTTCTCCTAGACATGCCTAATCCATGGCCTGCCAGCCCCCAGAATAGCTACAAATGAGGTCAAACACAAAAGTGTAGGTTTACTTAAAACATTGTAAGATTTTTTTTTCCAAAATTTAAAACTACTGCTTGGCTTTTGAGTGAGAACTCTGTAAATGACAACGTCATATCACAGTGTCAAGGGTTAGACATGCCTAACTCTCACACTTTAGATACTACCTAGAATCTCCACTGAGCCATGCTGCCCCCAATAAGGAAACACAAAAGACATTAAACCAGAACATCTGCCCTGTGTAACAGGCAGATGCTGAATCAAGAGCTATTGGCTTGGTTGTCACCTCTGTCCCTAAATCTCTCTTCTGATCTTTGTTGATAGGAATTCTCAACAAGAACTGTGCATTAGAGTCCCCTGGGGAGTTATAACCCGATCCACGTGCCCTCCTCCCCCCTCCCCCAGCAAGCATGATTCAGTTGGCTGGGCATCCCCAGGCACAGGTTTATTCTCCAAGTGGGGTTATTGTGCCAGATTTGGGACTTAGGGTCATGGAATATTAATTCTTGGTATTTTTGTGTCTGCTGAACCTAATCTGGTAGTTGATGTAGGCAAGGCTCAGTGTGGGGTCACATATTCCAAGAGGTAAATGAACTCCTGACCTTAGGAGCACACCAACTCCCCTCCTGCCATCCCACCTACTGTCTCTGCCTGTTATGTCACCCATCCTTTTTCTATCTCTCTCTTGGCTCTTGGAATGAAGCTAGCACACATGCCATGAAATATTTCCTTATCCTAGGTGAAGGGCAAGTAATATACAAATGACAACATAGATTTCCTTGAGTCCCAGAAGCCCAGAAGTCTAACCGTGATTTCTGATTTAGTTCTTGAGTTAAATCACATGGGAAGTGTTAAGATGCCGAGTGAGCACCAAAGACTTTTTGAGAAAATGGAAATCTCTGAAACTAGAAAGCTAGAGAAACGAGAAGGAGATCCCTTATGCAGTACAGGCCCACTGGGAATGTTTGTGGGTGCAATCAAGAGTGTCCTGTTTAAGCCATGAAGGAACAAAATGAAGGGCAGGAAATATGTGACATTGGAGCAGAAGATGGCTTGGGGGTAAAGTACAAGTGTGAAGTTCTAAGTCTGTGTCCACAGAGCCCTGCTAGTGCTGGATGTACAAACCTGAAATCCCAGTACTCCTGGGAGGAGATAGGAGCATCCCCAGAAACTTAAGGTCCAGCTAACTTGGCAGATACAGTAGTGAACAAGGGAGACCATCTCAAACAAGGGAGAGGTGAGGACCAATACTTGAGATTGTCCTCTGCCCAGCCCCCTTACACACAAAGGTAAAATGAAATGTACTGAATTAAGCAGTGTTTGTCGAACTGGGCCCTTTGATGGTTATCTCAAGCCAGGTTTATGAGGTTCTGCCAGCTCTTGAGAAATCACTATTGCTAGAGCTGGCATTCTGGTGGCTCCCACCACAAGGTGTCTGACTGCTACATGCACAGAGAGGTTGCTCAGCTACTGTCTTGGGACAGTTCTTCCCATTCTGTAGGTCTGAGGAGGATAACCTCATCATGAGGTATGGCATTGCAAGCCTTCCTGTTCTGGAGATCTTAGTTATTCTTATTTTGATGTCTTCAGTCTTTGAAAAAGACAAATGTGGTTAGGCATATTTAGGGCTTAGCAGCCTGGTATCATAGTTTTCAGACAGATAGTCCTTAAATGATTAACCTGTCTCTAAGCAGAGTGGAACAAGAGGATAGCCCAAAGCTTCAGCTGGTAAAGGAGACAGATACCAAATGAAAGCTGAGATGCCAAGCCTCAACCTATGTTTAGCTACCCTCTGGCCATCTGGAAGCCCACGTGGGGAGTCAGTGGTTGGCGGCATCTCTGGCACACAGCAGGTGCTCCGAGGGCGGACGTGGAATCCGGCTGTTCTGTTCACTGGGATTGTTTTCCCTTTTGCGTGTAGAGGTTTTCAGTCAACCATTTGTTGTGTTCTGTCCGTCCCCTACTCGTACTCTAGCTCAGCTCCATAGCGATGCAGGGAGCTAACCTCAGGGGTCCCCCCCCCCACGACTCCTAGAGACATCTTACTGGGAATTCTCAGGGAGCTGTCTCCCTGGAGATGCCCTCAGCTACCTTGACTGTGAGCCTTTAGAATGGTTTCTCATACTTACCAAAGACATTTCCAGTGATCCCAGTGACTCAGGAGACCTGACTCAGGAGACCATAGACTACCTATGGCAGAGGCTCACTGTCCTCAGTTCTGGGCCTGTCCACATAGTCTGAGAGCTGGCTGGTACTGTGGATTCTTAGACTCTAAACTTGCTGAACAGAAACTCTGAGATGGAGCACATGTCTGTTTTGATGGGCCTGCAATACTCAAGGTCCAGATGCATAGACCTAGTGCCGTGTGTGTGTGTGTGTGTGTGTCTGTCTGTCTGTCTGTCTGAGTATGTGTGTATTTGCATGCATATGTGTGTGTCTGTGTCTTGTGTGTCTGCCTCTGTGTGTATGTGTGCATGTATGTATATATGTGTCTGTGTGTGGTATGTTTGTACATGTATGTCTGTGTCTCTGTGTATGTGTGCATGTATATGTGTGTCTGAGTGTGTGTGTATGTGTGTGTGTGTGTGTGATTTCTCCAGTCACATTTGGGTGTCTGTCACATTTCCTCTATTTACTGAGATACACATTTAATTCTAACTAGAGGGGACTAGTCTTGAGTGTACATATCAGTCTGGACGATTACCTCAGCCCTCCACCCCTTGTTGCTGGCCCTCTCCCATGTGGAAGGAGTTTAGGAACACACAGGTTGTCCACTGTGTGTCTCCAGTGATTCTGGACTTAGAAACAAACAGTTTGACTCCCAGACCATCCCTGCCACACCTTCATGATGGTACCAAAGGGGCTGTATGCATGTGCAGGAGACAAACACTAATGGTTGCCCAACCAATGAAAACTTAATCCTGAGGCAAAAGGCCTTTATATGCTGCTAGGAATTTCTGAAGGAAAGATAATTCCCTTGGAACCAAGTAATGCTTTGTCAATATTGAATTGTCCACTTAGCCTTTACTGTGACAACAACCAAAGCATATGCAATAAGATGTAACACGAGCCTGCACACACACAGGGGCATCAGTGCAAGTGACTTCCCTTTGTTTGGCTCTGCCCTGCAGGAGTAAAAAACTAATTAGGTTGGCCTATCTAGTTGAAGCATAAGCATTTGTGGAAACAGGAACGACCCATAAACGGTAAATATTAGCTCGAGATACATGGCCAAGACTTGTAGAAGAGAAAAAGAAATGCATATAATTTGTTTGAGTAGAATTAAGAAATAACAGGGAATGGTAACATCTCAGTGTGCTATAACATGAAAGAAACCTCACACTTGGAAACAATACCATGTCAGGAAGCATATGTACTCACTGTGCTACTGTGGGTCCTTCGTGGATTATTAAGTTCTTTAGAACCATGGATGGCTTTTATTTTATGAAAAGACATTTCATTCAAGTTGAATGGAAGGCGAAACTACATAGTAATTTTGAGCCCTAAGTAGATGGATTACAATGTTCTTTACCTATTATGTCAATACTTGGGTGTTTTATTCAATTAACAACGATTAGAACTACTAATATGAGTGTGGGCATTAGGATGGAGAAAGGATGCAAACGAAATCCTAAGAGTTCTTTCCTAAAGTAACGGGCCGCCTCTCTGAGCAGACAGCAGCAAGTACTTGATGCAGATCATGTCTGCCGTGTGAATGTCAAGGTGAACAGTAAACTGCAGCGCTCCACAAGTTCAAAGGAGAGAGGATGTCCATGGTCCACTCTGACGAGAAAATGTTTCATGCAAGAGAGATATGTTAAAGAATGGGAACAGTTTCAAGCAGGGAAGGAGGGAAGGGAGGGAGGGGAGGAGGGAGGGAGGGAGGGAGAGAGAAAGAGAGAGGGGAGGTCTAGAAAGAGAGGAATCTTACTTCAGTGAAGAGGCTAGGAGGGAGTACAAAGCACCACGACTTCCAAGATGGTCCTGAAGGAACACACAGGAGTGGGGGTTGAGCAGGAGCCACGGGCAGAAGCCGCTCAGGAAGGGTTGTGGGCCTGAAAGCTTCTGCCTGGCTCCTACGGTGCTCAGGCAAGCTGTTTCCATGCTTCTGATGTTCCGATGTTTAGATGTTGGTCCTCAGCAGTTCTCTCCATCAGTAACAACTCCTACAAAGGCGGATCAAGAAGGAAGTAGACCCTCCTTCCTTCACTGTTCTCTCTCTCTCTCTCTCTCTCTCTCTCTCTCTCTCTCTCTGTCTCTCTCTCTCTCCTTTCTCCTCCTCTTCCTCCTCCTCCTCTTCCTCTTCTTCCTCTTCTTCTTCTTCCTTCTTCTAAATGGACATTGACTTACATACAGTAAAATTCACTGTTTCCAGCAATTTAGTTCTGTGTTTTGACAAACATGTGCAACCATAGACACTACCACAAAATATGGACCACTTGGAGCCCCCCCAAATTATCCTTTTTCCTTTTTATGGTCAATCCCTCTGGCCACCACCAGCACCTAGGGGCTTTCCAATGCCTGTAACTTCACTTCCTCCAGAAGCTCACTCACACGGAACTGCAAGTCTGTATGTAGCCTTTTGACTCTGCCACATTGGCATCTGAGAGTCGTCCACATTTTTGTTTCTGTTCCTTATCTGTTCCCTTCTGTTGTGCTGTGTGGAAGTCCAATGTTCGAGTGAACATCAGGCCTTCAATCAGGGTTAGTCGGTCTTTCAGTTCTTGATGATTATAGATAAAGCTGCTGTAAATATCTACACACAGAGTTTGGGGTGATGTAACTTTTCATAGTATTTGAATAAGTATGCAGAAGTAAGATTGCTCATTTGATTTTATAAGAAACTTTCCAAAGTGAAAAGAAGCATTTTCATTTGATTGAGCAGGAAAGAAGAGGCATTCCCCGGAGACCTTCTGGTCAATGACATGTCAAGTTTACTAGCTCTCTGCAGAAATTAACCAGAATCCTCCTCAGCCACAGATAAGGGGAAAGGATTTTGAGTTTTAAAGGCACCAAGTGTCTTGGTGCAAGAGGAACCGAGTCACCCTGCCCTCCTGGGAGACCATAAAGGGACAGCATGGAGGAGGGGAGAGACACTGTGTTTCCTCAGGCAGGAGATTTGAAAGACCAAAAGAATGTGCTCCTGTGGCTCTAACCCTCAGTTACAATGTTACAGGAGTGGGATTTGATCTGGCTTCCCTAACCACATGCTAGCAGCAGGGGATAGCAAGTAGTGTGACAAGTGGACTTGGAGCCTCTCGGACTGCGAGGGCTGGAGAAGGGCAGACTGTAGTCACAGCATCCCTGTCAGCTGACAGTCTGACAGGCTGCCATGGTGCTTGTGAAGCCTTGAGCTGGGTTTGCTGTGTGAAGCAGTGTTGGAAGACATGCTGCTCAGTGAGGCAACAGTTACTTCTCTCTGCCCCTTGCTTCTCTTCCTCCAACCCCTTGTCTTACCATAATTCTGTTGCTTCTATTTTTCTTTCTCTAATCTTCAGACTTCTAAGATCGCTCCTCCTTGGTAAATCAGACAGTAGATCCCACCCTGTTTACTTTCTGCAGACCCTGCCCTCCCTCCACAACAATTTTGAAGAGGCCATGCTGGTTTTATTTATTTTTTAATTGAGAGTAAGGTGGGGGTGGGGAAGACAGTCTCATCATTTTCTCTCGGGCTAGCCCCAAGCTCATACTGATCCCCGTCTCAGGTCATGTGCCATTACACCCAAAATTAGTTAGGATTCAAAACTGCCTTAGCAAAGATGTAACCCAGTTCTTTGTGGTTTGGAAAGTTGGGGCAGGCACTTAATTTTAAAAGGCTCTGTGAATCCACAGGTAGGCAGTAAGGATGAGAGAGGGAAGAAGTTTTAGCTCTCCTTGAGCCTTCTCTGAACTCTGCCTGTTGCAGCTGGAACCTTGGACTAGCTGGTGTTGACAGCATGGGGTGTGAGGCTTGAAACAAGGTAGGTAACCTTGAAACTGGGTTGTAGTACCTATGGCTTTGAAAGGCTTGGGAGTTATCTGAGGAGGGACCAGATGTCTGAGCTTCTCTCTTTCCCACAACTGCCAACTAAACCCGGGGAGCAAGTAGACACCCAGTTAAGACTTCCAGTACTGCACCCCTCTTGTGGGCCTTATCACCGAATTTTAAGAATGGGAACAGTGGACAGGAGCTGAAGCTGTGTGCAACAGCCTCCACAGTGCAAATTCTAAAGGATGCAGCCTTCGATGAGCTTCTGTGACTCACCCCAGCCCCCACTGGTACACTGGGGATTGAATCCCTTCCCTTGGCAGGTGACCAACTTGGTCAATTTCCCAGGCTAGGAGCCTGGGGATGTTTTATTCTTTGTGTCCCTCCTGGGGATAATGACTTTTTCTGGATACCAGGAATTCCACCGTGACTCTGGCATGCGACTGAACAGGTAAGGGGGGAGTGCAGACAGAAGGCAAGCCGACAACCTGCCTGTGTGAGCTTTCCTTCAGTGACTTAGCAATATCCACAGTTGGCCTGGGCCTAGCAACCTTAGTTAGCCAGATGGGGCTGGTCTGTGTCTGCCTCATTAACTCACTGTCCAGCAATCACTTGCTTTGCCTCAGTTTACACCATGCCGAAACCTCTCCTCCATCGGCACCCAGTGCCTGCATGCACCGGGGAGTATAGACCAGCTACAGTTTTGACCCATGACTGGATGGCTGGCACATGGACTTTGCTGTGAACACAGCTGAGCTCATTCAGAAAGGAAGATGAAAAGGGTTTCTAATAAACTTGAAATGCCACCAGCACTCTTCTGGTTATATTACACACTTAATGAAACATGCAGACCTTCCCAAGCCTCCCCGCAGACCTTCCAATGAACACTATGACTCTGGGAAGATACACATCGAACTATCCCTCCCAAGAAATCAGTCGCTGCTTCCTCTTTCCTGTTTTGAACATGAAGGATTTTTTTTAAATGTATTGTGTGAGTACAATATGCAGGCCATATTCTTTGGCTCCTCATAAATATTTACTTAATATTTAAAACTCACTGTCATGAAGTATTTGCTCACTTGAAAACAGCAGCACCCACTTTCCTCATGGAAAATAAGAGGTGCCACCATTTTCAAATCCTTCAGGATTCCATTTTGTGTGGTTGCTTTTTTCCTTCCCATTGGCATTGCCAGTCAAGTCCATACGCCCAGACCAGGGAACTCTGGAAGAGCAAGCCCAAATGGACTCCCAGAGGTTGAGCATTCCCCAGGCCCCAGCATGACAAACACCTGACCATGTAACTTAACGAAGTTTTATTTAGCTCAAAGTTTAAAAGGTAAACTTGCTATCACAGAAGGAAGGCATGGCGGTTGGCAGCATGAGCTGGTTACATTGTATCCACAGTCAAGAGTCAGAGTTGAATGCCTGTGCTCAGATTACCTGCTCCTTTTTATTCAATCTTGAACCCAGCCGGGTGGTGTCAACTGTGTTCACAGTGAGTCACTCCACCTCTGTTAGACCTCATTGGAGATCTGCTCACAGCTACATCTAGAGATGTGTCCCTAGGTGACTCTAGGTCCAGTCGGAGTAATAAGATTAAGAATCATGGAACTGCTCCTTCCAGACCAGTGTTTGAGCTGGCCATGGCTTCTCTCTCCAGTGATAGATTAGAACACAAAACAATGCAAAACAAACTCAGAAACTGAAGAAGATCCATTAATACACAGATTAATGATCTGTGCAGAAATTTCGAAGTTTACAACAAAGGCAAAAAAAATGGCCTATTCCGACACCTACTTCAAATACATTGTAAAAAGGGGAGTGAATAGAGGGAGCTCAGAAAGAAACCCCCACAACCTGCTTATAGAACTGCCCCTGTATGCCTCCGGCGTAATCCTGCAATGAGCAATAACAGCAGTGCCCAGCGTTGCCAAGTGTACCTGTTGGTTCTGATCCTGGCGAGAGTCAACCCTCAAATTTGGCAGTCCCTCTCACACACAGCCTGAAACACCCAGGAATCCATAGCCTGACACAAGCGAGAATTTCCTGCTAGGTTTTTATAAACTGAAAACTATCTCTAAAGGGTTAATGTTGAGGATGCCCGTGACCTCACACATGAGGCAATGATCACTTCCAGCTGCTTTTGCATGGAAAGAGAGAAGACAATGACAATGTTTAAGGTGTGAATCCTTCAGTACCCACCTGCCAGCAAGAAGAGTATAGTGTTTGGTGGCAGGCCTGCCTCTTCGTGAGTTCCCAAGTATTCCTAAAGTCTATAAGGAAAGGGATCCCTTCCAGCAGGCAAAGGAGGCTGAGTAAGTTTAGATGCACAGACAAGTAGCTACGCAGTGCATAATTCTTTTTGCTTTTTGTATCAACCTGTTTGCAGCCTCTCATAGATGGCTCTCCATGTTAAGGCTGCTTAATGTTTACTGGTGTTTAGGTTCCAGGAGTTTGAAGTTTATGAACTATTTGGAGGAATTAGAAGGCATGCCTGGAATGTTTGAGGTTTGGGATTACTGAAGATATCACTGCTCGGTTTGTGCCTTCGTGGGTTCTTGTTCTCTCAGAACAGTCAGGTTCTCTATTTCTACAGAGAGTGTCACCAAGTAACCACACTAAGTGATAGCCTTTCCCTAACGTTTGGGAGCCCTCTCTGCTGTCTGGCAGATAAAGTCATAAAATAGACATCTGAGAACTACCTGGTCCTCTAGGCAAAGGACCAGCTGAGTGTGGCACAGTGCATTCAGAGACATCAGGGAGAATCCTTCAGCCAGCTAGAGGTGTTAAGGGACACCTTGGGTAACTTGTCAGTTTCCCAGGCTAGGAGCCTGGGGATGTTCTTATTCTGTTTCCCTCCTGAGTGTAAAGACTTTTTTCCTGGAGACCAGAAATTCCACTGTGACTCTGGCATGTAATTTAACAGGTAAAGGGAAAAAGCTGACTTCCTGCTTGAGTTTGCCCTCTTGTGGCCAGGTTTAGTAGTGCACACCTGAGGTCTTAGCACTGTGGAAGTGATTGTACATTCAAGGCCAGTCTGGACTACAGAGAAAATTCTAGAATGGCCATAGCAAGACCCTACCTATGAATCAGTGAGTGGATGAAGCAAAGGATGCATAAATGAATGGGTATGAAATGTGTTCTCTCTCCTACTCTCCTGGGCTCCTCTGTTCCTTCCAGGGAGGCATCAGACCACAAGGGAGCCAGTGAATTATTTGATGATTTAGGCATTTAAAAAAGTAAAAAACAAAAAAAAACTTTGAAAAGGTCACTGGAGAACAGTTTTTTTAAAAATACTAACCAGTTATTCTAGCATAGTATAATTCTTTGCCGTTACCCTGAGCTTATTGGTTGATGCAGACTCAGGTTATAGGGCAGCTGACCTGTACATTTCCTGGGCTGTTCTGGGTTGCGCATGGTTTTGAATTGCTATAGATGTAATTCATCTTTAGACCACTGTACTAATCTTAAACAAGTTCTTTCTCTTTGTTGACTAATCTAGCCATGCAGTGAGGAACATCTGTACTTCACGACTACATAGCTTTTGTTTGTACTTAGTCATTGACTTAGAATTAATTCCTAAGGAATTGCCAAGCCAGCTCTCTTTGTGAATCTGTTCATGTTTGCTGTATATTATAATATTGCTTCCTGAAAATCTATGTCATGTGTCATTTTCTCTAGCAGCAAATGAATAATTAATCAGTTTCCTCACAGCATCCCGGTAACAAATAATATGATTTTAAAACAAAGCTGTAGCTTTATTAGGTACGAAACGGTATATCTGTGGTATGTCAATAATGTTTTGTTTTACATTTTTAAAGTCCCTAATAAAAGTGCATATTTTATATTTCTCCTGCAAATATTTTTACGTTTAGATTTTTGAGACTTTCATACATGAGTACTGTATTACATCATTACATCATTCCCCCCTCCTCCATTCCAGCTCCTCTCCTGCTCCCTCTCAAATTTGTGACTTTTTCTTTAATTATTAATCACACACACATACGCACACACACACACACACTACACCATCATAATTTCTTCTCTTCTTCTCTCTTCTTCTCATCACTCCCTCTTCTCAACCTCCCCCTTCCCTCTATAAACAGACAGACAGACAGACAGTCAGACAGTCAGACAGTCAGTCAAAAAGAGAGATAGTAGGTGTCCATGCCACACGGCCTTTTTCATACATCCTTGCTTCTGGTTAACTCTTCACGCCTGTTCCCTCATCCCATCTTCACACTTTGCTCTTGGCTTAAGCTTTCCCCTCAGTGATCAGTCTCCTTCAGTACTGCCCGTGTTCTACCATCCCCCACCCCAGAAGATGCCCCCTATCTACAGTGACCTCCTTCTAGTTTCCTGCTTTCTCCAGGTTCTCCTAGTTGAGCACACAAAATGAGACAGTTTTCACTTTGTAGTCTAGGCTGACTTTGAGTCCCCAGCCATCCTCTTGTCTCTGCCTCCTGGGTCATAGGATTACATGTCTGGGCCTCCATGGCCTGTTACTTCCCAGACATTTGACATAAAATGTAACTTAAAAGGCAAGGCAGATGTGCTCAGGGGCTGAAGTAGTAGAAATCTCCAAGCAAGTTCCATTCAGACAGACCCTGTGTGTAGGAGTGACCCTTGGCGGTATTCCTGACCGGCACAGACACCTCCTGTTCACCTACCTTCATAGCTTTATACAACTCCCCACCAGTGTCCACCACCCTTTCCAGAGGTATCAAAAGTAAATACAGTTGACTTCCTCGGTGCCATATTGCACATCTAAATCAGAGTGAATGCAGTTTAGAACATCTGATTGAACTATCTGGCATCTCTACAGAAAGCTAAGCTCTCAGGGAAGGCCGTGCCACAGTTATGGCCGACTTCCTTCGAGAAAATTAGATTGGACTTCTCACCATTTTAACTGCAAATAGTTTTCCAGGATGCAAACAACTGGCAAACTTGCAAATCTGATTGCCTCTGAAATGCATTAGAAGCCGATTTACTGGTCTGCGGTGAGTTTTATGAAAGAAGTCAAGGGTTTTGTTTTGTTTTGTTTTTAAAAAAAACCATGATGCATGCCATGGTTGGGGTTAGATTTTTGTAGATCAAGTTTATAACAAGTAATTCCTCCTTATTGGATTGGATTTTCAGTTATTTATTTTCTTCTTAAGAGAACTAGGGAATGCTCAGGGCTAGTGAGATACCTCCATGAGTCTAGGAGCCATCTGACAGCTGAGTTCTATCCCCAGAACCCATGTGGTGGAAGGAGAGAACCATCTCCTGAAAGCTGTCCTCTAATCTCCACATGCACCCTGTGACTGTGCCCTCACATGCATGTATACATACATACCCATACATGCACATGAGCATAAAGAGATCCCTGTGTTCACTCACCAGACGTGTTCCTGTGAGACCTTGCAAGTGGCAGGGTAGGCAATAATTGCCTCTCTGTACTCAGAAGGGAGCCAGAGTTATCAGAGACAATTTGAAACAATAGCCACAAGTTAAAAAGAAATCCCAGGCAAGCTGAAGACCAAGAAATAAAACTCCGACAGGCTGATCTCCATCTTCACCATGTGGGGCTGTGTGTGTTCTGCAGCTACCAGGCTGCCCAGGTGCTGGGGTGCCCTCCACACACCCCTCGTTCCCCAGGTCACTGTTCCCTCTGTCTTCGGTGACCTCATTAGATGCTCTTGGATCCGTGCTTCTGAGCTTCGGAGGTGCTCTCAGTCTTCAGAGTTATTCCTCCCTCCTCCTTTTGACCTTGAAGAAAAGTCACTTGCCTAATTTGAGTATGAGGGAGAAGGAAGAAATTAGGTTTATTAGATTCTACTTGGGACTGGGCAGCAAGATAATTCTGGTGTTTCTAGCAGCCACCTCATGGGGGCAACAGGGAAGTCCACATTTATTGAGAGACATGCCAGCAGAGACTCGTTGTGAATGGGTTCGACTCTATTGTCTAAGCTCACACCATTTAAAAGTTGGCTAAGACATTTTGAGCCCCTAGTTCCTCTAGCTGTGGAGGTTGAGCAAAGAGGGAATGGGACAGCTGGGAACACTGTGGTTTGGGATGGACCATAAGGACATCCAATGTACATGAAGGGGCCTCACTTCCTTTGTCTGATCACTGAGACTCCTCAGGCCATCACCCCCTTCCACCCATCCCTCCTCTGCCCAAAGGTCGGTGTTGGGGTACACTAACACCACTGCTCTTCTCTCTGCTTGTGTCTTCGCAGCCCCTAAAGACAATGAAGAACGAGTGTTCAGGGAGCGTATGCGGCCAAGGAAACGGCAAGGGGCTGTCAGGCGCAGGGTCCACCAGGTCAATGGCCACAAGTTCATGGCCACCTACTTGCGGCAACCCACCTACTGCTCCCACTGCAGAGATTTCATCTGGTAAGTCCCTCGGGAAGGGAGGTGGTTAGGCATGAGGTAGAGGTAATGAAAGTCAATCAGAAGAGCCGATGTGATGGAAAGAGGCTTTCTTCTGGGAATGGTGGTGCAAGACTTTGATCCCAGCACGCAGGAGGCAGAGGTAGGCAAGTCTCTGAGTTTCAGGCTAGCCTGATTTACATAACATGTCCATGTCCGGGTCAGCCAAAGCTACCTTGTAAGGAGAGGGAGGGAGGGAGGGAGGGAGGGAGGGAGGAAGGGAGGGAGGGAGAGAGAGAGAGGGAGAGAGAGAGAGAGAGAGAGACTTTCCCATGAAAGCAAATAATGAATGAAGTAATGTTCTTCCAGACAGAAGCATCATATTTTAATCTGAAATAAAGGAGAGATTTCTCTAATTAAAGTCCAAGAGTACTGTATATTAACTTTAGGAGCTCAATTTATAGTAATTTGATCATCTTTTTTAGAACTCTGATATTAAGGTTTCAAAGACAGACCTCAATAAGGAGAGAGTACTGCTTGCCTTGAGTCCCACCACAGTGTAAGACTGTCGAGAGCCTCCTTTCTGATGACGACAGTAACGGTGCTCCTTAATGCAGCAGCTGGTGTGAGAGTGTGAAATTTAAACCTTCACTGGAGTTAGATTCTGAGTTTTAAAAATTAATTTTACTTGTGTATATTAAAAACTAAAACAAAGCAGACCTTCTGGCATATTCTCTGAGTTCTCTGAAGCTGAAGTACACATCAGCACACTCAGATCCACTGAGGAGAGTGGATAGGGCCAAGAGTCAGTGTCAGCATCTGAACTGGGCTTCAGAAGGACCCTCGAGTTCTAGAAGACACCAGTATTACTCTTTGTTATGAAGCAAGTCACTGAGTTTGGCATGGCCACTTGAAGTGACAGAGCTTAGACAAACCCACCTGAAGCAGAAGCCCATGTGCATGCGAACGTGTCTGTGTGTGTGCACGTGCACGCGCGCGCGCGCGCACACACACACACACACACGCACACATGCTGCAATGCTTCTCTCCAGCACTGACTCAGTGGCTCACCTCTGCCATTCCTGTCTGGGTTATAAGGTGAGTGAACAGCTGGTCTTATTGGTTGTATCTTCTCTCAGCCTTTTGGGAACACCCGAGTTCCTGTGAATGGCCCAAATGACTTGTGGCCCCTACTTCTGGGCTGAGGACTCTAGGGAGCTTTCTAACATGCTCTCTTCATGTATCCAAACAAGGAAGTCCCAGTGTGAACCTAGCCAGCAGACATGTGAGTCTCAGTTACGGAGAGGCAGGGATATGGCTGAGTAGGTGGGACTTTGCTGTTTCCAGGCTGACTAACCTCGCCAGGAGACCCTGCTGTGACCATGGAAGGAAGCTTTTCAGTGGTTGATTGAACGCTTAGTCCTAACTATAGACTGACCATAATTCTTCACAGGCTTTGGGATCCCCAGGGCATATGCCAGCCAATGGCAGGCCTTGTCTACCATCACAGAGCCCTTTCTCTGCACGTTCTGGGACTAGGATTGGGGAAATCACCTTCTCACCCATGAAGAGGGGAGTGTTTTAGTTGACTGGTTTCTATCCTGAGCAAGAATTACTTGTGACTTTCTAGAACACTGCTACCCCAACAGGTGTGAGTGCTTGTACAGAAAACCAAATCTCGATTCAGGCAGGCCCTGTACCTGCTCCAAAGTGAGCTGTCCCTCCGGCCTTCTGGAAGGCATTCTTAACCCTGCAAATCGTAGTGAAATTACATTGCTCAGCAGACTCCGCAGTACTCAGCACAACAAGGAGGGTAGCCAGAATTGGGTAGCTTTGTGTGTTTATCTTTTGACCTAGTACAATTCCATCTTCTTCCTTTCAGGGGTGTCATAGGAAAACAGGGATATCAATGTCAAGGTAAGAGGTATTTTTTGAACTTAGCTTTTGGAACTCATGGTTGGTTTAAAATTATAACCCCTTCTGGAAGGTGCATGCTAGATTGGAAACATTTACAGTCTTTGTACAGTTCCATTGTCCATCCTGTTCAAGGAATATGGCCCCTCAGCTTTGTCACTGCCTGGCCACCACTCTTATACATGTATGATACATGCCACCAAAGTACTGCTTGTCTCCTGGCATCCATGGGAGTAAGTGTCCTCCCGTGGCATCTTAGCCACAGTGATAGAAGGCAGAAGTACCCCCTCCCTGTGTAGATGTAACATTGAATAGAGCCTCACTGGAGTCTCCTGTCTTGTACGAATCTATTGTGTTCTCACTCCCCTTTCCCAGACTCTTCTGAAAGGTGCTCTCTCACCAGCTTGTTGTAGCCCTGGATGGCTCTTGCTGAATCTCTCCGTGATTTCTACTGTGGAATCATTAGTAAACACTTGTAGCTTACTTGAGGTGTTGATGATTGCGTTTCTCTAGCTAATTGGCTACAATAGACAAGGTCAGGTTGCACAGGAAGGTGGAGATGAGATGCGGTCATGTCCTCGTGTCATGGTCCTGAGTGGGAAATGAAGGACAGTACAGAACCTGTACTAGCGAGGGCTGTGTGGAGAGTTGGCCAGGGTGGTCCCTGACCTTGGCCATGGCATCAGGAAAGCTGAGTAGCCTTCTCGAAGCTTCCAGTGCCCTTTGAGCATCGCTTCCATCCTTCAGGCGCTCAGGAAGCACCATGGTCCTAGTGGCAGTGTATTTTTGAAACATTGCATTAAAGGCTTGAGGAGGGGATTCGTTTAGGTTAGGACATTGTGAGAAAAGGCACAGCTCTGGCCATGTCTCCACTGAGACCTGATTAGATCTTGGGGTGGGATCTTGCTGGCCCCGATTATCACTGAAGCTTCTTCTGTTTTTATCATTGACAGTTTGCACTTGCGTCGTCCACAAGCGATGTCATGAGCTCATTATTACGAAGTGCGCTGGGCTAAAGAAACAGGAAACTCCTGATGAGGTAAATATTTACAGCTACAGTTCTGTGCTTTCTTCCTTACCGGCCTCTCCCTTGTCTGCCCCTGATGTGATCCCCATGGGAGTCTTATCTCTCTGAGCTCCTGCAGTTGTCTTCATTGTGTTGAGCAAAAATGAAGGGAGTTGGCCACTGCCTGTTGGCTTGAAGCACCATCTATTGCGTGAGCACAACACTTAGCTTTACCCAAGTGAAGCGAGAGCCTAGAGATGAAGATCATGAGGGAAATGTGGAGTTCTATCAATCTGTCTATCTATCTGTCTATCTATCTATCTATCTATCTATCTATCTATCTATCTATCTATCTATAAGACGGTCTCTATGGAGCTCCGGCTGTCCTGGAACTCATTGTGCAGACCAGGCCAGCCTCTAACTCATTTCTGTTGCTCAGGTGCTAGGGTTAAAGGCATCTACCCATATGCCTGGCTTTGAAATGGTTTCATTACCTCATTGGAATACTGAAATGGCCCAATGATAAGTCCATGTGCAAGCAATAATCATCACACAGCAGGAGCCGTACCTTAATGAGGTGGTCAGAATCAGAGTGGAGGGAATAATGCAGCAGTGCTTAAGAGACGGAGATTGGAACGGTGTCATTGAGCACTTACTGTGGCTGGCTCAGGAGCACTTTAACACATCTTATATACTGCCACAGCAGGCATTACTGTCATCATCTTCACACAGAGAGCCTAGGAACACCAAAATGGTCACAAAACTTGCCCAAGACACAGCTACTATGAAAAAGAGCTGGCCACATTCAGACCCAGGTGATCTGGTCTATCTTAAAGCTTGAGGCTTGACTCCCTGTCTCTTAGTTTAGAAACCTGGGTCAGACTGGTTTTAAGGAAATTTCTAGAGCTATGGGAATGTAGAATTCCACAAGGAATCCAGGTTTTCCCTAAGACTCAGAATCAGTGATTCTCAACCCTCCTAAGGCTGTGACAATTTAATATGCTTCCTCATGTCACGGTGACCTCCAAATTATTTTTCTTGCTGCTTCATAACTGTAGTTTTGCCACTGTTGTTAATTATAATGTAGATATCTGTGTTTTCTAGTAATCTCAAGTGACCCTATAAAAGGGTCATTAGAACTACCCACCCTGTGCCACTGGCTAATCCGATAGCAGTCCCATTAGTAGGCTAGAAGATCTTCCTGGGGTGGGGAGGGGGGGTGGGGGTGGCAGGTGTACTGATGAGTAGAGTTTATCTGTGCCCAGAACGTGAATTTCAAAGGTATGCTTCCAATAATTCCCAGTGCACAAAGTACCACATAGTCATAGGTCACTAGAATCAGGTCAGAGGAACCCCAGGAGGATTAGATACCTGTCTTTAGAGTGAACTGAGCATATAATCTGAGTCCCAAAGTGACTTACTTCTATCTACTTCCTAAAAAGTGTCAGCCAAGTGGGAATTTTGCATCCAGGACCTTTCTCATCCTGGAGTCCTCTCTTGCTTCTGTGTTGCCTCTGAAAGCAGCAAGGGGCAAGGCTCTGACTGAGCTTTCTGTGCTCCTGAGTGTAAACTGAGGCCTGATCCCCACAGCTGTGTACAGGGCATCTGTTTCATTGGTCTGGTTAAATGTAAAATCTAGAGACTGCACTGTAGCTCAGTTGGTAGAGTGTCTAGCATGCAGAAGGCCCTAGGTTCAATCCCTGGCACCACGTAACTCAAACATGGTGGAGCACATCTAAAATCCCAACACTAGGAAGATAGAGACAGAAGGACAGAAGTTCAGGGTCACTTTTGGCTGCATGCTGAGTTCAAGGCCAGCTTGAGATATATGAGACCCAGTCTCAGGGAAAGAAAAATACAGTATGACCCAGCAGCTGTTTCTCCTGACCCTTGACCTGCATAACCTGCAGTTCATGGCTACTGTCATTGCTTTCGCATGAGGATGGGGAGGGAGATAGCATGCTTTACTGCCTGACTTCCTTCCTGTGGACATTCCATTGACTATTTACTGGGCACTTCCTGCATGGCAGGCATTGTGCCCTGTCCAGTGGAGGAAAAGAACACATAAACCCTGACTCCATGGTTCTCACAGGTCTCGTCGCCTGGGAACGTCAGGTTTCTGATGCTTTCCCTCACTTTGTGGAAGGGACATGTCCCATAATACTCTGGGCTTTGCACAGTTTGGAGCTAAGATTGGAACCAACAGTTACCACTTAGTCTGTCATTGGGTGCTTCCTTCTATCTTTCCTGACAGATTGAGCAGTGATGTCTCCAGCGAGGCACGCTCCTAAATGTGGCCTGTATCCCCAGAGACAATGGTCAGAGTCTCAAGAATGGGGTCTCTTAGAATGGTGGGGTTGATACCCATCCTGGCGTCCCCACCACTACCCCTGGGCTTCTGGAGTCTAGCATGCTTTTGTCGTCACTGAGTGCCTTTCTTTGGGTGAAAAGGCATTAATTCATTCCTTTGAGTCGCTAGCTTTAGTATAATAATTGTAGATACACACATCTACACACACATCACAAACACTGCAGCTCCAAGTGCTTCACTTCCAACATCCTCTATTCAAAAATGCTCTACTTTAACGGTGAGTTTGAAGCCAGCTTGAGCTCCGTAGAAAGACTCCATCTCAAATTAAAACAAAGTGTTCTGATGATGGGTGGCGCCTTGGATGTTTTCTTTCCCATCGTGAGCACTTGGCCAGTTGCTTGTCTCGTGTCAGTCTGTGTACTCCTTGCTGGTGCAGTAAACAGGAATGCCCTGTCTTCCTGTTGCCTTGGCTTTTGTCTGTTTTTGAATCTTGCAATTCTCTCTATAAGTGCACACATACTCCCATGGACATGTCTACTTGTGTGTGTGTGTTGTCTTGGTGTTTGCTTCTCCATATGACTCTGATGTGTTCTTGTATGTGTTTCTCACCATCTCGTTATCTTCTTACTGTTCTGATACCTTGGAATCTTTATTGATCCCAACAGAGATTTATACAGCCATCTCCAACTCCATAATGGCCTCCCGATCACCTGGGGGGGGAGGGAGGGACAACTTTCCTACCTCTTCACCTTGCTCTGCCATTCATACCTTTATTAAATTATTTCTGGTAGGTTAACTTCTCATATTTGTCTACCATATCTTCAGAACTGCAGGAATAGAATGGACAATGACCTCATCCAGTTTTAGGAGTCAGAAAGAGACATGTATGGTTGACACAGACTCATAGGCCACAAATCTAAGGGTGGGCATAATTATTCTCAAAACAATGCTAGAAAACCTGTACTCTGATGGGACCCTAATGGATGGCCCATGAATGAGAGAGGTATTAATAGCATTCTGGCTTCATGGGAAGACCAACCATTTCTGAAAACTGGCTAACAGGAGACACCACCCTGATCAGCATCTCTATCTAGCTCTCATTGTTCCTGAGTCCTCAAAGGGGGCCTTCCATGCCACATCCAGCTGATGATCCAAGGCACTGTACACACTACCCTCTCCCTGATTCCCAGGGTCAGAAGTGCATCTTTCTTCCCAGGCTTTCCTACCCTATCTGAAAAGGGCTGCTTCGTGTGGCTGCCTCACCAGGTGGACAGGGAGCAGCTCTAGGAAGGTTCTGAGGAGACTCAGGAAGGTTATCTGTGCTGACTGGCGACTCTTGGCTCTGTAGAAACCTTCCTTGTCCCCTTCCCTTCTCCTCCATTAGTTTGCTGACCTCACTCTCCTGTGACATCGGGTGGGGCAGAGAGACTATCCTTACTTCCAGATGAAAAATCTTGAGGTCCTGGGGAACCAGAAAACCCAAGACTGAGCCACTACCCAGACACCCAGAGCTGAGCCAGTGCCCAAACATCCAGAACTGAGCCTTTTCCCAGACACCTGAGTTTCTGTTCAATGTCCTCTCTGTCTATTCTGTCTTATACCTTTCTCCTTTTCACTAATGAACGAGTAGCAGCAGAGTGGATTAGAACCCTGAGCTCTGTAATGGGACACATGTGGACATGGGCCTGTCTTTGTATCTCTTTGCATGTTCCTGAATCCCACAGTGCCTTCAATTCCTTGTCAGCAAATTTGAGGAACCAGTGGCCCCACCCATTATGATGGTGGTATAAGGTGATAGTGCCTTAACTCAGTGTCCTGTGGCCATCGATCTATTAGTCATCTTCCATACTATGCTATGGACATGTGCTACTTTATGGGAGCTTGGGTTTCATCTTAAGCTGCTGGAAGTTTCTCCTTCCTAGGCTAGACCTCTGTGAGCAAAGCCGTGTTGATAGTACCCAGTGGCGTCTTGTAACTGACTTCAGTGTGAGGTGCTCATTGCTAATTGTCTGTTATGATCATGTAGAGGGCTGAAGTCTTGGAGTGTACATGGGAGGCAGTCTCATCTTGTCTGTGAATTAGGATGATTTAGGAAGTGAAAGCTGGGCCAGAGGAGAGGTTCCCTTCAGGGGCCTGCAGTGATGTGTGCCTTCAGAGAATGGGATTCTCTAAGAATCTGTCTGGGAACCCAGGGAGCAAAGAGCTGCCCAGAGGAGCTGAGTACTGATGGTGTGTCTTCCTGTCTCTGCAGGTGGGCTCCCAACGGTTCAGCGTCAACATGCCCCACAAGTTCGGGATCCACAACTACAAGGTCCCCACGTTCTGTGACCACTGTGGGTCCCTGCTCTGGGGCCTCTTGCGGCAGGGCTTACAGTGTAAAGGTGAGTCTCTTCCTGAACCTTCAGCCCAATATCCACATCTCCCTCCCTTTATTTCTCCCTTTTGTGAAAAACATTCTGTCCCTGTAGCATTTCTTTGTAAAGTTGGTTCCAGATTTGGCTGGAGTGTTGATCACATACCCTTGAGAAACCATTGATTGTCTCCTGACCGTTTGCCTGTTAAGATCTCTCTTGGAAGAACGTGGTCAGGAGTGTGGAAGAAACGTGACAAGGTACTCATGACTGTGCCTCAGAGTGTTTGCAACTGGGGGAAAACAAAATGGAAGATTTAAAGAAAAGAGGCACTGGACCGGAAGGGAGGGCATAGTTTTTGAAGATTGATGAAGGAATAGCTATAAATTGATGGTTTTCTCTCTCCAGCCTTTGCTCAGAGCTGACTCTTGGAGAAAGTCACACTAGGGCATTGTCACCTGTGATGGACCAAGAATTCATCCCCTTTAACATTGTTAGATTACTTAAAAAAAAAAACAGCAACCATGATTTACAATGTCCATAAGGTCTTAGAAAAATCTCTTCCATGATCAGTGCATCCATATTCTGCTTATTTCCTTACATTACATTTATCAAAAGATAGTTATTATTTATTCATATAACCGGAAAGAAAATAAAGCCTAATTTAAAAATACTCTCCATGTAAACATCTTACTTTGTTCGTGGTTGTCTAATGCTGTGTGCACACTGGATCACATGTACATACTGTGTGCACACTAGATCATGTGCACATACTGTGTGCACACTGGATCATATGCACAAGTAGGCCCTTTATTCAGGTTCCTTGAATATGTTTCCATGTGTCACATTGCTGTGTTATTACTGGGGCTACCCAGCACACTCATTGGAACAGACATTTTGAAGGTGGCGTAGCAGAAACAGAGGGAGGAACCTGAGATGGGGGTTCTGTTTCTGTTACTGAGCTGTGGGACGTGTACATGTTACTTTATTTCTGAGCCTCAGTTTCTGCCATGGGGATGTGGCCATCTATGGACAGTCCATGGAGGATCAGTAAGATGATAATGAAGGAGAGATTGAAATAAAAGAGAGGGGAGACTTGGTGTAGCCACAGACCTATGTGGGGACCCCATGGAGCTCTGCCCTGCTCTCCTGCTCAGCAGGCTCGGCCAGGTTTCACCATTGCAAGCATGGGAGCCGTCCTGGCTGGAGGTCAGCTCCCCTGTTACACATGGTGCATGGGAAGCTCTGTGGACTCAGCTCAGTGCCAGTCCTACTCCTGGGAACAGTTCTAGTGTTCTCAGCAAAACAGGTTTCTCAAGAACTTGAGTCTAAACAGATGGACCTGTGACATTGTCCTGGCCATGGTCATGCTGCAACAGATGGACTTGTGACATTGTGCTGGCCATGGTCATGCTGCACCATTAGCTTGAAATTACCTGATCCACATGGGTGCAAGCATCGTACACTTGCTCTCTCAGGATCTGCCTCTTTGTCGGTCCAGGTGTTGTGGGGGAGAACAGTTGTATCTTGAATCACTTAGTGGCAGGGATTTGGCTAAGAAGTGTGACTAAGAGGCCATGCTGCTATTGTGCAGACTTCACTGAGCATACGATGCTGACAGACTGCAGTCCCTGTGATGCCCAAGTGACATCATCTTCAAGGACCGTCATTGTCTCCATTGTATGTGGTCAGACAGTGAAGGAAGTGTTGTTGTGTGCTATGTAACTTTTCTTCTGTTGAATGACTGAGAAGCAAAAGTTTGATATAACAGGCACACAGCCAGAAACCTGTCAGGGGCTGGCCTCTGACCTTTGGGCTGTCCTTTCCCTGCCTTTCCTACAGAAGGACCAGGCTTATACAGTTATTGACCTGTTGAGCTCCTCAAGCAAGGCCAGGAAAATACTGGCTCTAAAGGAGGCAGACAAACAGACTCATTCCTTTCTTTGCCTGTGATTCTAGGTTGAGCACAGTCTGAGGCCCTTTGCTACAGGTTCTTATTCTGTAGAGCGTAAAAGCCATTATCTATAGCCTAGAAGTGGGCTTTTGAAGTTCAGGTTACCACTGATGTGTAACCTGACTAGTGTGCCGTTTATCCAGAAGCCATTTAAGTCCTCTCATTACCTACTGTCTAAGCACCCCCACTTACACATCAGCCCAGCCACCCCAGAGTCAGAAGATACCAAGGGACAGAGCTCCTTCACAGGCTGCAGTCTGACCTGCACATCTCTGCCAAAGCCCTGTGCTTCATCACGCATGTCAAGGGTCTGCTGACTGCATCACTGCCATGCACCGAGGCAGGAGGAATGTGTTCTTTGGAAATGGCTAGCTTGGAGGGTCTTCCCTGGCCCCGGGCTCTCTGACATCCATCTTAGTAACTCCTGTGGTCCCGGGCTCACAGTGCCTGCAGGAGGAGGTAAACTTAAGCAGAACTGTAGACCACAGGCTATGGGTGGGAGAACCACTCGGCGTCCTGGTTTGGACTGCACTCAGGTCACCATTTGCTCTCCTGCCTTCTTAGTGTAATAGAAAGAGTTAGTACAGAGGGACAGGTCACCCTTCTTCCTCCCTCCCCCCTCCCCCAACTCTCCCTCTCCACTCCTCCTCTCCTTCATCTTTTTCTGAGACAAAGTCTCAATAGTAGCTCAGTCTATCCTGTAACTTGTAATTCTCCTGCCTCAGCTCCTGGGGGTTAGGATTACAGGCAAATGCCACCACATCTGCCTCTGCTTCCCTGTTATACAAACATACTTTGAATATTTAAAAACATAAAAGAACTGTCACTCTCATCAGTTCCCAAATTCAGGCCTTTGTTACTTTTAAACCACTAGGCCTCATGTCATAATGTTTTTTTCAATTTTGTTTTTAGAATTAAATGTGCACCAGTAATATAAAGATGCATCCTCCCCGTGAATGAGTCAAGCAAGGCTTAAGGGAAACATGCGTATATAAAGTGGTGCACTCTATGATGTCTTTACCTTCTACCTGAGATGTCACTGCTATTAAAGCACTTGCTTTAGATCTTCCCAAGCCTTTCTGTGTGCATTGTGCTTATCTGCCAGCACCAGCTCAGATGATACAGAGCGTTCATACAGCCCACACAGGCCCAGTTACCTCTTCAACTATGGCCCTGTTGCCACCCTCAGAAGGTCAGCTTGCTCTAAAATGATATTTACAAGCCTTTCCCTTCTTTTGTTTTTGTTTTTTTTTGTTTTTTGTTTTGTTTTGTTTGTTTTGTTTTTCAAGACAGGGTTTCTCTGTATAGCTTTGGCTGTCCTGGAACTCACTCTGTAGACCAGGCTAGCCTCGAACTCAGAACTCAGAAATCCACCTGCCTCTGCCTCCCAAGTGCTGGGATTAAAGGTGTGCGCCACCACCGCCCGGCAAGCCTTTCCCTTCTTATTGTGAGCCTAGAAAGGTGAAACTAGAAATACCCCCTCCCAATCATAGAGCATAATACAGAAGGTGCAGGTCCATGTGCCCAAATCCCAGACTGGTCTGGCATGGCCCTGCTGCTGCAGTCCCACCTGCACATAGTGGGTGCTCAGCTCACCAGGAATGCAAGCTATGTAACAGAGCAACAGTGGCTCTTTAAAACAAGTAAGAGCTCCACAAGGCAAAGTAACCTGTTTCTTTTGGACATATTTTCATCTCTAAGAAGCTAGTGCAAATGAATTGTGATCAGGTAGTTCAGGACCATGAGTGGGGTGCAGTTTGGGGCTAACAGCATTATTTAGTATTCCCTCATAGTCGTGTGTGTGTGTGTGTGTGTGTGTGTGTGTGTGTGTGTTGATGACCACTTCATGTAAATATCACTCAGGTTTCATTTGGTCCCAGCTGGCACATTCACTTCACTTTTTGGTCTGTGGCCTCCCGGTATCACCACAGCCTCCAGTTGCCTGTGCTCTCAGTGGGTACCTCAGTCACCCAGTGCCCCTATGCCCAGCCAGCTTTGTTCCAGGACTAGGCTTTTCAGAGTCCTTTCTCTGCCGCTTCCTCAAGTTGTCTGAGTTGACTGACAAGTGAGAGGATGGTGTTTTGTTTTTAAAGAAAGGCAAAGTCCTCTTTAAAACCCCCAGTTCACTAACCTTCCAAATCCAAATCCATCCTGGGAAAGGACAGATCTGACATTTCAACACCAGAGGGCGCCAGCAGTTAAACTGAACAAACAAGTTAGTTGCTCTTGGGCAAGAGAGTGCTACCCAGTGTTGTTGGGCAGGCAGGACTGGAGAGGTGAGAGTTACTGACTTGCTCATGGGGGAGGGGTGGAAAGCCAAGCAGAGGCAAGTGTCTGGGACTATGTGAGCTGCTCAGACCTTTCTAGTGATATCTGGTCCAGACCCAGAGGGCTACTGTAGAGTTTTCTTGTTTGTTTTTGTATCTGAGAAAACTTCTCTTCTGCACATTCCCACTCTGCCTTCACCCTGGAACATCCATTAAGCTGAAACTTCAATGCTGTGCCCACTACAGGCCAGTAATCACCCTCATGGAGCAAGCAGGGGGCCTAGCCTCACCTGCTTGGTTTGATACAAGCAGTTTCTTAGTTGCTTTATTGACTTTAGGGTTTAGGGAAGCTTGGGTCTCATAGCAAAGCTGAGCAGGAGTGTAGAGACACAGAGCCCTGGCCCCACACACGCACAGGCCCACCACGAGTGCTCCACACCAGAGTGACCTACTGGTTTACATTGGTGGACCTGTGCCAACATGCTGTCATCATGTGAAGTCCACAGTTTACACTGAGGCTTATGGTGGGCATCAGAAGATCTGTGAGACTGGACAGTTCTACAGTGGCATGCATCCAGCACTGTGGCATAGGAGGCAGGAGGACACCACTGCCCTGAGAGTCCCCTCTGTCAGATGATGCTGAAAGCATCCATGGGCAGGTTTCTGGTGTAAGTAAATTTTCAACTGATTCTGATGTAAGGAGTACCAGATGTGTACTTGCTGGGTTATATGGAAAAGAGAATTTTGGGGAGGATGAGGGCCTACTGAGTTGTCTAAATAGCTAAAATGGCTTTGCTGCCTTTCGCTTC